CGGGGCATTGCCTTAGAAGAACCTCGGCAACTATCTTAGTTGATAATGGTGGAGACATTACAACCCTAAAGCGACATGGTGGATGGAAATCTACCAGCGTCGCTGAAGGATACATTGAAGATTCTGTAAACAATAAGAAACAGATAGCGATGAAAATATTAAACCCATTAGAGTATAATGAACCAAGTACATCAAGCGAAACTGTAAATATTGATCCTGAAAATAATTTAATCGAAGACTTTTCTGTTAATAATGGTACAATTGTTAACACTGAAACTGAGAACCTTATTACAAGTAACGTATTCAACGACAGAACTGTAAACTTTGAAAAAAAGACAGCCAGCAGCGCTTTAAATATCAACAACTGTACCATACAAAATTGCACATTTAATATTCATGTTAATAAATAAAGTTTGATGATAGACATGTAGGTAATTTAGATGTTTATTCGTTTAATTCAAATTAAAGAAAAATAATTGTTACATTTGTTTTTTTATTCATGAATAAAGTGGTTAAAACTGTCATGTTTAATTAATCAATAAAATGTGTAAAATGTATAAAATAAATAGTATTACCTACCTACTGATTTTATTTTGTGCTGAGATTGAACATCGCGTTATCCGCTATAAATTTTCAAAATTAGTAATTTTTTATATTCACGCTTGAAGAAAAAATAGTATATGTCACTCGGAGTGTGCTTTCTACTCCTAGTAACATAATATACTATATTTGCAGACTGAAAAGAGCGTTTGTTTTAGTATCGGGTGGTGTTATACTGACTTCCATTGCCTTTATCGTGAAGGTATTTCAGTTCAGTACTAATTCCGAAGTGATTTGTCCGTTGTCATGACAACATTTACAAATAAGAGAATAACAAGCGATACTCAGCGAAGGAACATGAAACGAACGATATTTTTCGTTTATTTTACGTTTTCACTGCAAACCAAACCCTTCTTTGTGCTGATTAATGAAACAAATAAAACATAAGAGGTTTTAAAGCTTTCACGGTCGTGCTGATATTTAAATTAGAATTGTTTTTTCGGGTTGTTATGCTATGGCCTATGTATCTGGTGACTGTCAGTTACACTTCCTTAGCCTTCGCCAGAAAATTTTGACCCACACTTGATGTTCTCGGGCTAAGCTCTGAGGATGCCGGCAGTGAAGAATGGTGAAAGCATTGGGTGCGGTCACTATGGAACGTCTCAGAAAACCGCCAATCCATCCTAGATGTTCTGACGGCGAGTCCTCCGCCACTGAACCTAGCCAGAGAACAACATGTCGAAGATTTCCAAAGTAATTCTGTAACTGGAGACTGGAGACCAGGTGGTACGCCGTAACATAACACAAAAAATCATCGCCATTTAAATAAAACAGTTTTATTATTCCAGTTAAACCGTCAGTCAAGTTTGCGCAAAGGTGGACACCAAAAGATTCAGATACATCTGCCAAGTCTTTGTTAAGAATCAAGTTCTTTAGATTCACTAAAAAATATCTGGACGATCTACTTGAAATCTCTAAATCCAATTTCAATGGCTTTAGTAACATTGCAAATTTTACATTTTAAGCCGGAATATAATTTTGAAAAAAATGCAATCAAAATAAAAAAATATGGTTATCTGAATTTACTATACAACCAAAGGGTTTCAAATTTTATTTTAGGTGTATCTCCACTTCTGGAAGAGATCCAATCGTTGGCACCTGCATTTCGAGCCTGACAAATTCCACCTACAGGTGCTGTTATAGCAACATCCTGCGATAACAGTTTCATACATATTATTCATATTAATTTAAATGTACGGCACAGTTTACTTTCAAAAAAGAAATATATAATATGTATCCATCATTCAGTATTTAATAAGGATCTGGAAAATTCATATTTAATATTTTATTTACTACGCACAATTTTTACATACAGAAGATAGTTTAGAAATTTGGAATGTATGAAGATTCTTAAAAAAATGATGTACAAAAGTAATTAATTACATCTCATAGAATCATATTAGTGGTCTTAGTTGATTGCACTCTTTTCAAGAACCTAAAAATGGGTTTTAGTGGTTAGATAATAATCAGAAGAGAGAAGAGTGAAGCTAAGGGAGCTGTTATAGTTTTGTTTTGATCTTTAATTTTATCTTGATCTTGTAACTAATTTTAATCTTGCATCTCCTTCAATCAGTACAATCAAGACATAGTGCTATCGTGACCACTAAAAATATCAATTACCTTTATCAGATTCTACTACAATAAATAACAATAAATAACTAAAACAATATTTTTGATTTTAGCGACGAATTATTAACATTTCTTCATTCATATGTTTATAGTAGAACTAAATATGTTATGTAAATATGTAAAGACGTATCGGGAGTTCCTCAGGGTTTCAACTTGGGTCCGTTACTTTCATCTACATATTAACGACCTTGACAATATGTTAAATTGTATGACGCTTTTTTATGCTCCTGACCTTATAATTTACACTTCGATCTCTTTAGTTTACCAAGCTCACAACCTTCAGCAAGAATTCAATAAACTTGTAGCTTGGTCTGTTAACAACAAACTTAACCTTAATGTTAATTAATGCAATATCCTCTACTATCATTATATTGATTCACAAACACTGTCGCCACAATTTTACTAAGGATTTGGGGGTTAGATTTGACAGAGCTGTAAGCTTCTAGGTTTAATATTCAGTCCTTGGAAAAAAGGAGATTTGTATGCTCTGTAAGATTTATGTATCTTCGATCACTTAATTTGGTTGACTGTCCTTATATTCTTTCTCAGCTTTATTTTTTTTTAGGGCGCGTTTGTCGATCACGTTTCATGCAATATTTTATTGCCAATCCACCAGAGCTACTATCGAATTAAATGAAATAGACCCCTGTGTTTGAAAACCGATATTAAGAGAAAGTAGGGATGAAAAAATTTGAAGTTTGGATCGTATACAGGGTGTCCCATAATTAGTGTGCAATACTTTAGCAGTGGATTCTACAATAAAAAACGAGACTATTTTTTTCTATAAACAAGGGGCGAAAAATGCGTCCTAAGGGAGCTACGCCCCCCTAAATGGGGCCTCAGGAGATCATATTTTTCAAAATATTTTCAAGACCAGTTAACGTATCATTATGAATTTTGGTATGTTGGACACTCATTGTTCTAACAAACTACACGAAAACTTTTAATCAGGGGTGTCGCAGGCAGGGGGCTGACATGTAAAATGCGCCCCCAATTCTTTGGATGTCAATATTTTCAAATTTAAATGTCAAACGTTAGATATGAGTTTTTCACAAAAAAAATGTACTTTGATAAAATCGATTCGATTTTCGATTCGATTTACTTCGATAAAATGCTTCGTTTTCGAGAAAAATCGATTTTAAAGTTTTATTACATAATCTCAAGAATGGAAAAGGATTACATGAATAGGTAGGTAGGTCATGAAAACAAACGTTTGTTTACTTGAATTAATTTGATAGATTTATTAAACCAAAATTTTTGCTTTCACTTCACGGTGCTGTATTGGATATGATGTATTTTGTAATGGGAGAGCACTAGCGTAACCAAGAGAATACCGGAGATACCCGAATCGGAGGTAACCTGGACGTAGAATATTTTCTACGGTCCATAGACGATTAACGGAAAATGGATCTTTTAGAAAATTGCGCGGTCAAGGAAGACCACCAAATAATTTTGAAAATACCTTAAATCAATTTGATGATAATTCTAATATTTTCAAATATAAACATCAATCATGATAGAAATGGGTTTTTTACAAAAAAAATGGACTCTAGATTTACTTCGATAAAATGCTTCGTTTTCGAGAAAACATTTTTAAGTTTTATTACATAATCTCAAGAATAGAAAAGATTACATGAATGAAATGGATGAAATGAATGAAATGAATGAAATGAATGAAATGAATGAAATGAATGAAATGAATGAAATGAATGAAATGAAAATGTTGAAAAACCTCGGTTTTCACAAATTTTTTCAGATTGTTATTTACAGTTATTTACTACCTATGTCAGTTTTTTTCCATTTTTAAAGAACGCAATATTTGCGGAGATAGTATTCCCTCCTGTTTTGCTTAAATATAAAAAAGAAGAGATTTTGAGACAAATGACCTTCACAGTACTAAAGACAATAGTTCGACTTATCATCAGTAAAAAATTTGGACTGTTTTTATCGATTAACAAAAACATTACAACGAGTTAAAGTGAGAGGTATCAATTTTACAGGCAGAAAATGATGAATTTTTCAACATTTTCATTAATAACTAAAAATGGGATATCGAAACTAATTGATATTTTAGCACCCAATAGAGTAATAGTGAGGCTATATCGGGTCCAAATTTAAAATTTTATCGTCCCTACGTTTTCTTAAAATATCGGTTTCCAAACTCAGGGGTATATTTCATTTATTTAGATAGTAGCCTCATGTTAAAATCATATGTATATAATATGACATCTCAGTTTCTATTATATGATATCAGTGACATAAATAGGTCAAGTTTAAAACAGCTGCTAAAGATTGCCTATATTATTATTATTTTTTTTTAATTATGTTTTTAATTTGCTTCTTATTCATTTGGCAATATTTTTATTGTGTACGTGTCTTTCCTTAATGTAAATTTAATATTTAACAATAATGTTCCTTGTATCTGCGTATTTTTAATTACTTCTTATTCTAGATCACGTGTGCCGAACTAATTGAATTTTACTTTTTACTCATACGAATTATTTCTGTAATGTCTTGTAATTAGATTTGTTCTTGTTGAACTAACAATGAAAATAAATAAATAAATTTATATATAAATATATTTACTTACCTCTTAATTGAAATAGACACAGAGTTATTTTAACTTCAAATTCTTATTATGTGACATCAGTACAGTTTAATATGTTTACCGTCTAGTATATTCGATGTTTTGTTACTTTTAAATGCGCCCTGCTGATCTGCTTGAATTGAGGAAATGAAGGGAAAGGAAATTAAACAAAACGTTAGGCCAATTGATATATTTTGTATTGACAGAATTGTGAATGTTGTACCCTTTTCACATATAGAAACATATTTTATAGATTTTAACCACGAACAACACTTTAGGTTTTTCTTTCTTAGTTACGGTTTTATATATCACTATCACCGTAAAAAGTACCTTTATATGATATTACATCTATACATTACATACATAATTACATTAGATAAGTAGTACATATTACTTAAAGTTAAGTCAGACATGCGTTCCCACTGGGGATGTGGCTGGAAGAACCCCCATTGGGAAAGCAGCTAACAGCGGATACACGAAAAATACAATAAAGGATAAGAAAGTCCGTCGGCTCTAGCATCGAGTGGTTTTATTACTCTACTGTCTTTACTATGAAATTAATTTCAGTTCAATACTAATTTCGAAGTAATCTGTCAAGTTCTATTAACAACGTTTACAAATAAGATAATAACAAGCGATACTCAGTGAATGAACCTGAAATGAAGGATATTTTTTACGTTTTCGTTTATTGTACGATTTCACTGCAAACCAAACCTGTCTTTGTGCTGAATAATGAAACAAATAAAACATTTTTAATATTCTAGTAACATCGTCAACCAAAGTCGCGCAAAGGTCGGCACCAAAAGTTCCAAATGTATCTGCCAGGTCTCTGTTAGAAAATCAGTTCTTTTGGTTCACAAATAAATATATCTGGAAGACCCACTTGAAACCTTTGATGCAAATTTCAATGATTTTAGTAGTATGGCAAATTTCCACGGTGTAAACAGGAATGCAACTACAAAAGGAAAAATAATGTAATCAAGAGATTTAAAGTGTACGTCGAACTAATTGTAAATGTGCTCTTCGGAATTTACCATACCACCAAAATGTTTTTAAGGTATCATTTTGTGTTTATCCCCATTTCTGGAAGAGACCCATCCGCTGGCACCTGCAGTTCGAGCCCCACAAGTTGCACCTGCAGGAGCTGTTATAGCAACAGTCGTTCGGCCTGTGATCACAGTTTCCTCCTCTTCTTACGCACGCACGTCTGAAAAGGTAAATTAAGGAAGAACGTCTGAAATGGAAATTAGAAATCACTTTACAACCACTGTTACGCTATATCTCTCTACACTCTAAACATGGAACACAACTTTCAACTCTACTTGGCGGGTGTGGCTGTGTAGTTGCTGCAACTGAAAATCTGTCTTTAAGGGCTTCAAACTTTTACAGTTTGTGAACAAGAAGCTTCATTAAACTTTTTCCTTCCTAAAAAGCATTTTTAAAAATTTCATATCTTATTTTATTGAACAGAGTTAAAATATAAGTACCAGTAAAGCCAATATGGATTTGTGTGACATCACTACAAACAGAATAATTACACAGCCACACAAAAAAATCGGGGCGCAGAGGTCAAACCATGTTTATTATACGTTTTTTTGGGCTGCTGAATCCGAATCCGTTTAACTCCCATCACCTCAGGATTTTTCATAAGCCCAAAAAAAACGATATTCTGAACAATTAAACCATATATCCTTAAGACTTAAGCTTCCAACGCTAAATCCAATTAACCAAATCCCATAAACATTTAACTCAATGATATCCCAATCTAATAAGCCCATGAACCCAAACCTCAATAACCCTATAACCCCATAACCCCATAAAGTTTAAAAACATCACATACCTGAGGATTCCTTGAAAACCCTAGTACTCAAACCCAAAATGCATCATATATATTGATCTAATCATTTCACATGTCCGGTCTTTTGATCTCGTCATTTTAGTAATATAATTTTTTGGGTTATCTATTGTTATCCTTTGGATTTTCATTTCATTTAATCTGGTCAAGAGAGATTCGTAAGATTAATCAATCATTTATTTATTTTAGTTTTATTGATTAATTTATAGTACGGCCTATCCTACAAATTAATTTTTGTTCAAAAGCTCTTATGAAAGCTATATGATGTACGAAATCCGATCGCGCAACCAACTGATCGTGTTGTACATCAGGTAATGCTAATACCGACGATCCTACCAATTAAAGTTATAAAAAAAACTAGATCGACAGTAACACAGTTCTTTGATGAATGGGATCAAAATACAAGGTAATGAAGTTGTAGTTAGGGAATCGTGGGGTTATGAATTGTAGAGTCATGGGGGTTTTGTGGTTTGAGTGCATAGGTTTTTAAGATATCCTCAACCACATTAACGTTTAGCCATAATACAGATTGCCTATGATTTATTAACGATGGGGTTATGGGGTTATGAAGTTACGGGGTTTTTTGGGTTTGAGTATTTGAGTTTTCAAGGAGTCCTCAGCTATGCGATGTTTTGCAATAATACTGGTTGCGTATGGTTTATTGAGTTATGGGGTTATAGGGTTATTGGGGTTTGGGTTCATGTACTTATTAGGTTGGGATATCATTGGGTTAAATGTTTATGGGACTTGGTTAATTTAATTTATCGTTGGAAGCTCGAGTCTTAAGGTTAAATATGGTTTAATTGTTCAGAATATCGTTTTTTTTGAGGTTTTGAAAAATCCTGAGGTGATGGGGTTAAACGGATTCGAATTCAGTGACCCAAAAAACGTATAATAAACATGGTTTGACCTCTGGGCCCGAAAGTCGATTTTTGTGTGGTTGTGTTATTATACAAGGCAAGTTGCCCAAATATGTGCACCCGTAGGAAAAAGAGCTAATATTTCTTTAACAAAAGTATAATTTCAGACCAAAAGCCTCCGCATACACGTTTCCTACAAGCATTTTCTGCAGAGTACTATACACTGTGCCTCTAATTATATTGTAATTGCTTCATTAGATCCATCTGTTTGTCCAGAAACATTGGCATTTCTACCCCTTTTGCGGAGAAGCTCAATTGACACTTATAAGCGGTGTAATTGCATGGTCTGAAATGGACTGTATAAAATTCTACATTATTTGTGGATTCCTAATCACCAAAAGAAATGATAATTTTTGTTGATGTAGATGAAGAATTTGGTACAGTGTTTGTGGTGGATTTAGGCCACCAAATCAAGGCTATAAACTTTGTAAACTGCATGAACTGAAGAATAAGTACAAATGGCTTTTACAAAAATTTGTCTACTATCAAACACGTACATTTCTAAACTATGTCAAATAATCTGCGATATTATTTAAAATGTGTACCTTTAAAAAAGTGCAGTTTTCTAAATTACAATTTTAAATAAGTATGTATGTAGTATTTGTTCTATGGTGTTTATGATTCTAAGACCAGAATTTGAGCGTAGTTTCATCCAAAAGTACAGATTTTCAGTTAATTTCTGTAATTCCTGTAAACAAACACCGAACATATTTCTATTGTGTGGTTATATAGCAATTCCTATTTGTCGCTAACACTACTAACTAACTAACTACTACAATTAAGCAGAAGCTCCTTACATTAATACAAAAAGCACATGTAAATTATTTTTTTCGGTCTAAAAATGTATTCTAAAACTATCGAGTACAATAAACAGTGTTACAATATATATTATTAAATATTTAAACTTTCAAATTATGTTCAATAGGTATGCATAAAAGCAAACTTATGAATTTGAAAGCATATGAAATTAATATGGCACAATAACCAGACTTAAGCAAATAGCTAACAATACATTGCATCGACAGGTCTGTTTTAATAGGGTTAATTCTTCATCTGAAGATGTTAATATACCTAGTCCTTTATTGTATTAGCGCATAAGATCCAGAATAATTACACAAATCTATGGTCTCTGTTAAATGTTAGGATCAATAAATTGATTGAATTCTGTCTTATAAGAACATTAACAATTTACATTAATATATACTTCAATATTTAATTAGAATTATGCTACTATCATTTTCTTCATTCGTGATACCTTAAATATATATTTTGTATTTAAATTTAATTTGTTCTTCACAGCACAATATTGTTAACTCTAGTCTCGATATTATTATAACCATTAGATCCCGTTCTAATTTTTTCTGAATTCTGAGTACTGATCGATAACATTGATAAGATCAATTTTTTTATTTCTTTTTAACTCAGCGTGCTATCTCGCATAACACATGTAGCATTTTCAGGAAAACAATGATATCAGCGTTATGAAAATAATTCATAATTTATATTATATATTCAAAATGCAAATTAAATCATCATGTATCCTGAGACTTTGTTAATCCGACCGAAATTAACGTAATTTAGTCAATTTAAAACAATTCCTGGTTTTATAAACAAGAGCGAGGTTATTACGTTTCACCCTATTAAAACAGAACCGTTTTATACACTGAAAACTAACTTCTGCGCTGATTGCAGTAAGCGGTCGATTGCATTTTCTGAATAGTCCTCTTCTCCGGGAAGGAAAGTTTCCTCTGAAACAAAATAAGCAAGTTTATTCTCGTGAAAAGGGTCATGTAAGCCAAAAAGTGTATAACATGTTTCCATACAGTTTACTGACTGGAATTTTGTAAGGATGTAGGGATACAGGTACAGTACAATTCTGTGAAAGAATAACGATTCTATGTTTGTATATTATTGCTAAAATGTTTGAAACTATTCAATATTTCAAGTTGTTGGATACGTTGAAAATCATAATCTGTTCACCCGGCAGCAACATGTTTACCGTACGATCTTAACAAAACAATTGATAAATTTGACAACATTTAATAATTTGGGTTTCGAAGAGAGAAAATATGTTGATTTGTAGTTCTTGGATCTAAGTTATCATCCATGATATGTTGTGGAATAAATAACTTTTTCATCGATTGTCAGTGGAATCTTCATATTTAATATCATAATTTTTTTTAGTTAATAGACATTAGTTTGCAATTTATAGTGATTTATATTCTACAGTTGAATCTTTCGGAGTACCTCAGAATTTCGACATTTCTCCATAATTTTGTAATACGCATGCAACTGACTTTCCAACAATTTTTTACAAAAATATATTAAATATACCTTTTGCTGATGGTACTCTCAGCATCGATAGATAGTTACACGAATTTTACTTAAAGTTAAATATCTTGACTGTTCCTTTGGGTATCTTTTGTATGTATAGATTAATACTCATAAATAAAAAAATGAAGCATATAGATAAAACAAAAAATTTAAATGACTTAGGCTATTGACTTTCGGAAACAGAAAGAATTAAGTGTGGCACTGCATACATGGGCTTTTAGTTTTTTAATATTACGTCAAATGAATTGAAAAATCTAGCTTTAAATGTCTGTAAAATAAAAATTAAAATATATATAGTGAGGAGTAGTTTTTATACTTTTTCAGAATATTTTAATATTCAGAAAGTAATTGTTACAGTTAGTATATTTGTATTTAATTTCAAGTAGTACAAATTTTACTGCTACACTTATTCAATTTTATTTTTTATGTCCCTATTAATGATTTTGATATTTATGCCAGTTTTTCCTATTTTATATACAATTAGTACTTCTCCTTCTAAATTGTTTATTTCTATACTTTTTTTTTAGTTATTTTGACATCATTTGTAGAAGATTAATAATAATATAAAGCTAAAGACTTTATACCGCTTTGAATTTGTCAGACAGATACGTTGTTATTAGATATAAATAATCCAATATTTTTTTTGTGGTAAAAGTAAACTATACCGCTAATTAACGTTTACATCAACCCCTTCTCTTGCAAAAGACTTAATTCACATAAAGTTTTAGAAATACACCTCGCCTCGGTAGCTACCATATTTTCCTATGCTGACCAAACTATTAAATTCTGGTTTGTATTAAGTTAACTTTGTAAACTGATACTCTATGTTGGGCTGTTAATTGGCACGTATGCAGATAAGCTATAAACTATTAAGGCAATGTAATATTATGTTTCGCAAAGTGGTACCCAGAAACAATAACTGACTAATATCGTGTTAGATCCTGAACAAAACATGAATACAAAATGTGTTCGTACAGTGACACGTAGTTACTTGCATATTGTGCTTGAAAAATCGGTACCATCAGAAGCAGCAAACTGTATCTAAAGCATCTAAAATTATTACCTCTATAATCGAAAGTAAATTTTTAGATAAATGCGGTAATTCACACAAACCGTTGTTTAATTATTTTGTATTTATATAAATAAGGTATTTTAAAAATTGAGGATTTAGAGGAAATCAAGATTTATACATAATACATAAGTCCGTATCATAATCTCAGGAGACTGTTCTTTACATTATTTTAGGTTACTGATTTTACGAAGAGTGATGAACCTTGACCTAATTTTTTAACTAATTAAAGATAAAAAATTCGTTGACATGGTATACAAATGCATCAACCAGTGACGACAATATTAGGTGGCACCACTATTGAAAAACCTAACGATTTGTTTCTACTTTAGATATTTATATTTTCTTTAAAATGGTATTTGGAACAGAAAATTTCTGTGTGTTTTTTTAACGGATAGTTTTGGAATTAGTTTCGATTTATTTAAGAGTATCGTAAAATAATTTTATATTTAAAAAAGTAATAACTGATTGTCACAATCTTTTTTTGAGATACATTTACGAATTAAATGAACTTATTTAATTTCTAAAACACTTCTGGGATTTCCACTGATAGTGCTTCCCCACCAGTTGAAATATTTGTATACTAACACAGTACATTTTTGCTTTAATTAGAGAAGGTGAATTAGGTCCATGATTCACCAATCTCCATAAAATATCTTCAGACATATTTGAGAAATTTTAATATATCTTTCGTATTTACCCCTGAATCTCTAAATTCAGTCTCTTTATATCCTGGTTCATTAGGAATTGTAGCCTAATGTAACAAAAACCAGATCCGTGCAATTTATGGGGCGATTTTCGGAAAGACTGGAGCTGAATAGTTCTATTAGGCCTTCTAAGAACAACCACGGGCAGATGAGGGTCAAGTAGTAAAGGTGTTATATTTGTATGTAGAGGGTGGTCTGAAGAGCTTTTGTCGCGGAGACTAATAAATTTACAAACCGATAATTAGAACAACCCCAAAACACTTCGGATTAAAAAAGGTATCATCATGTGACAATCATCTGTTGCGTCCGGGAGGCACCAGCCTATGCTGGGACAGAACAAAGAAACCGATACTTTTAATTTAATTTATTTTTTAATAACGCGCGAAATGCATTCCAAAGAACGTAGGAATTCCAAGAATAAGTTGTTAGAAGTTGTTAGAAGAAGAATAATAATAGATCAAATAGCTAGTTTTTAGGCGGATTTTCCAAGTTATAAGAATAAATTAAATGAGATTGACTAATCCGTCCCGTATTGCTACACGGAGTCCCTAGAGGAAGGCTAGGGTTATTTGCGAGTTCAGTTAGTCACAGAATTAATTATATAAATGTAAGTCCAGTCAATTAGGTAATTATTAACATAGTATATTATACCAAAGCGTCCAGATATTCAGGAGCCCACCAATAAGATAAGAACATAAACTTCTGGACCCAAGAAATGGGCGTGTCGAAGCGAGGTGTCGAATTCAGGAGAGATCTCCGAAAAACAGGCAGTTTTTCCTTGGGTTCCACATTGAGCAGTCTACTTAGTTTTAGAGTCTCGGGTTAATTTAATAATGGATAAAGTCATTCCAAATTTTGCTATGGATCGCGCATTCCCTGAATCTCGGTACGCTGTCGCGTGTCAATAAATTAATTAATAATGTTGTTCGAGCCCGTTGTGTCGTTATTTTGTTTGTTTGTTTTGTTTTTATTGTTATTAAAACCCTTCCTGGAAGTTTTGGTGTTTCTTTCTTGTTCTTCCAACTTAAGTGTCACCCTATACAACCAACCACTGGATTACCTTGTACATGACCGACATGCGGTAAGTGTCTGGTATTCATTCTTTGAACATGCAACATTTCTAAGTTCCCACATATTAATTAAAGTGTAATGATGATTATAAACTCCCTTTCGAGAAGTTAAAGTAAACTCTTTTGAAATCCAGACGGTAGATAGATAATTAAAGAAATAACCCTTCAGGTTACACTAATATAACATTTATTCCTGAAAATTTAGAGCAAATGTAAAAATATTTCGAATCTTGTCAAATATAGAAAAGAAAACAAAACAATTTCCCGCTGGGTAATAGTGGCATCAGGAATATATACCTGCACATAAGAAATAGTTCAACAAATTTAATATATCCTAAAAGAAATGGTCAATTTGTAGAAGAGTTACTGTTTCTTATAAGTCCATTATTTAATGCAAATTTCTCACTTTTCAGCACTGTTAATTTTTTATGCATTTCAATAGTTTTAAAATTAATAATATAATAATAATAATAAATAAAGGAAAACTATATTTTAAATAATATCATTAATATTTACAGTGCTGAAAACTGTAGCAGAAACGATATCAATAATGTCTGTTATTATGTTTTCAGCCCCTTCAAAATAGCAATATTGTTTTCTATAAATTATGGAAATGTACTTTGTTCACTTTGACAGCGTAAGTTAGAGCTAGCAATAATAATAATAGCTAGCTGTTACATTATGTGAATAATGTTATTTGATATTGTCCAGAGGAGCTAATATTATTTTATGATTCCAAAGAGTGCCTTAAGGTATATTACATTTTTGAAGTCTTTGATTTTCATGTCTTTTTTTAAGCGTATTAAACTAATGTAAGTCAGTTCCAAACAATATCCTATCCTAAATTATAACTGGAATAATTATAAAACTTACTGCTGGAAACTTTCGCTGTTTTACAACTATTCAACTTGAAAAATGAAAAATAAAATATATAGCAATTGATGAAATAGGCGTGTGGGACGATATTGACTGAAAGAAATAAAGGAACGAGAGAAACATTTTGAATTTTACTTATGATAATAGAAAAGAGATTTTGGTGAAATATAAAAGCCTCCAGGCGATACAAAGTGTTCGAGGTATAAGAATAAAACGGTAATACTGAATATGATACGAAAAGCAGACAGTCGTTATAAGAAAGAGAAATAAGAGAAATTGAAAGAGGAAAAATTAGATTAGGGACATGTATTCAAGAAGTAATACAATCAAGAGTGGAATAGTTTTTACAATTAAAATAAAACAGCAAACAATATACTTGTATAAACTGTAAGAAAAGTTGAAGAAAAAATAATTAAGCTACTTTGACATGGTGAATAATACGTATAATAAAGTTAGAAGTGGGCGATGTACGTAGAGAATTAGGGTAAAGACTACATTAGCATAAAACAAAGATGAAAATAAATAACTTCCAAGACTTAAAACCTTAGTTCAAGATGTAGATACTACCTCGAATACAGAAATAAGGAGATATAGTGCAAAATCTATTATATGCAAATAGCCAAGATTTAGAACTCCTAGAAATGTTCCAAGTTGACTTAGGAATGAGTATACAATATTTCACAAACAAAACA